CAGTTTTTTGTTTTTTACAAAAACAGAGGAATGCTGGATTCATATTCTGCAACCATCTACAAAACAAATAAAGGTTACTCCTCCTTGAATATAGGGCCATGTGTAAACTCCTTAGGAACACTTCCAGTGTCTTCAGTAGAATGCAACTCAGTTACACATCTCTCAAAAGAAGTAGGGAACATGAATGGGGGGGATTAAATGAGGCAGCTGGAAAGAGAACAAAAAATTCCATCTGTCTATTAATGCTGCATTCAAAGATATATCCTAACAGACATCAGTGGACTCTATGCAGTGTAAGGTATGGAGTAATGGTAGATGCCACAATGTTAATTCCTATGATTTTGTAGTTTTATACCACTCATTCTTAATATGTGGGAGAAGAACTACATTAAACACGGTTGTACTTTGAGAAGTTGTCTTTGAGCATGAGGGGAGTGTTAGAAAATTGAGGCATGGCTTTGGCTGCAAGGTTCAAATGCTACTGACTCGAATGTATCTTACTGTATTTATATTTCAATGGTGCTAAGGTTAACAGAAACTTTTAGCTTGCAGCACAGTGACACGAATGGGAAAGCTTAACTCTCAAGAGCACAGAAACCAAGGCAGCAACAGCAAGGGGCAGGGGGTCTCTTTCAATTCCCTGCTGCTAACAACAGTGCACCAGGCAAGCAAGGCTAATCTCAACCATGCCTGGGACTGTTAAAAAAATGAGCACCCTGGGGGGACATTTTGTTTGGTTGCCTGGCAAAGAGGATGGAATCTTATCATTAATGCAAGTGTTCTGTTTGCATGACTTGATCAAAATCTCAGGATAAGAATATTTTATGTTGGATGCAACCCCCTGCCCCACAAAAAAACAGTGGGCTACCATCATGATTTGTCCTTTGTTTTGCTCTGCCATGTTTAGACTTTCTCCTCTGTTCCATGAAGGAGCTGATCCAAGAACTGAAGGCTTGCATTGTTAGATCTATGCGCACTATGAATTAGCATCTACTGCCAACCTCAGATTTGCTCCAAGTTGGCTAGCCATGGTAAGCAAATCTTAAGAGCTACATGAATCTATAGCTCTTTGGTTAACTAGGTCACCAATTGCCCTGAAACATTTTCAAAGCTGCCAACCAACCTTTTATGCATACACTGTGGGCACAGGGCCAAATTCTGTTCAGTTACATGCATGAAACTGGCACTGACAAGAGAAATTGCTCAGGGTCTGAAACACACACAGTGAAATCTGGCCTATTGTTTTACAAGGCTTCCCCCTTCTCTCCAATGCTGGGTTCCAACAAACCACACAAAAAGGGGCCCTATTGGGCCATGGGTTCAATACACATCTGCTGCCAGCATCAGTGGGAAACAAAAATTGCTATGGTATATTTGGTGGTAGAACTGAATGACGTCTCCTTTTGAGAGTATCCGATGGATGAAATTTGCCTCATAAAGAGGATCTCAGCCAATTTATTTATTTAAAACATTTGTATGCTGTCCTTCACTATCACGTCTCAGAACGGCTTGCATAATTAAAAGCAAAACCACAGAACAATCGATAAAACAGAACAATACAATAAAATTATCAAAACCAGAGCAAAAAAATCCAATCAAAACAAGACAAAAGTGACTGTAAAACGGTAAAAATAATGATTTTTAAAATAAAAATTAAATTTAAAGGTTTTAATCTGGTGCCAAAAAGAGTATAGGCTTGGCACCAGGCAAACCTCACTAGGGAGCATATTCCATAATCTGGGCGCCACTGCGAGAGGGCCCTGTTTCGAGAAGGTGTCCTTTTTACCTCCTTTAGGAAGGGTTCTCGGAGCAGGGCCTCTCCCACCGATCTTAAGGGGCGTGATGACATATATGGAAGGAGGCGTTCCTTCAGGTATCTTGGTCCCAAGCTGTTTAGGGCTTATAGGTCAAAACCAGCACCTTAACTTGGCCCAGACGTCAACTGGAAGCCAGTGAAGTTGGTAGAGGACTGGTGTTATATGAGAATAACAGCTGGTCCCTGTCAGCAGTCTGGCTGCTCTATTTTGTACCAGCTGAAGTATCAGGACCGTTTTGCTACCCAGTTCACTGATCTCAAGCTGAAGTACCCTTGCCAAACACGTGTGACAACACTACTTGCCATTATTTTTGATAACAGAAGGAGCAAAAGAGGAAGAGCAAAAGGGAGAAAATGCAAAAGAAAAGAAACCAACTATGTACTTGAAAAAAACCACACACAAGTCAGTCCCAAGTGGCAGGATACAGTTATTTATAGATTCAAGGTCTAAAAGATTGAGGTAAGAGGTTGATATACTCTTATATTTCAGGGAGAAGGCTAACTTTGGTTTTGGGGTGACCCTCAGGATCTTTAACCCTATCCATGGCAATCATTTTATCCAATTTCAGTTTCACACAGCTCAATCAGCTAAGTTTCATCTACTTCCAACAAAACACTTCAATTTTAGGGTATTTGCCCTTAACTTTCAACCAAAGAATACTTTTATTCCTTTTCATTCTATTGCACTAGTTAACAGTTTATTAAAATTAAAAAGCAAATGCTGTTTTCTAGCTGTTTCCAAAGGCAGCAAAATATCTGTTTTGCCAGAGACGTAAGGCAGAAAGAGAAAATGAGTGTGCCCACCAAAGATTAAATCATCTCCCCTTCAAATCTCTGAAAAGCTATTATTTGTACACAAGAAAGCAAGAGAGATTTTTTTTTAAATGACAGCATCAAGTCCAGGAAGGTTACAAGAACGAACAGAAATACTGAGGGGATTTCTAATGAAAAGCAAGAAGGGATGAATGAGGCAGAAATCAGTACAGCATGATAGGGATTGAAAGAGGGTGGGAGAACAAATGAATCCAAACAAGAAAGAATGCATTTTCATGTACCTAACTCCACAGGTATGTACAATATATAATGGGGTTGAGCCCTGTTAGTCATGAGTAACAAGTCCTAATTTTTTTGGCCTTGTACAACCCATTGACATATATTGTAAAATGGGGGAATAGTTTCGGAGAGTTGTTTTGTTTAACATCAGAAAGCCAATTCACACCTGCTTTTTCACAAATATACCTCAAAGACAATAAACTACTGCAGCCTTTTCTCTGAACAAAAAAAAATCTTTGCATTCCTATGTGTGTTGGAGTGGAAGAGATGATGAAAATGAAACAAGAAAAGCAGGTGTAACAGCATTACTGGATTGGAGATATGGGAAACTGAAGGAAAAAAGCCGGGTTGCAACTCGTAGCACATTTACAAGGTAGAAAGTCTCAGGAGATGCAGCGGTACTTATTTCCAAATACATATGCATATAAAGTTACACCACAATGTTCTGGCTGTATGCACACTTAATAAATCAATGGGCTCTACTGCCAAGTATACATTCACAGCATCAACTGTAACAGCCTTCCCCAACCTGGAACCCTCCAGTATATTGGACTACATCTCCCATTATCACTGACCATTACACACATTGGCTGGGGCTCTTAACACTGATTTAGAGAAGGTTAATCTCTAAGGCAGCTTGGAGAGGAAACACAGAAGTCATAAAGGAATAATAGGAAAAGCCCTTGAGAACAAAAATGGAAGGGAAATCAGAAAGGGAAAAGAGTGGTTAAGTGGAAGCATGAAGAGGTAGGAATGCAGGATAAGATGTAAGTGAGAGGAATAAGACAGGCAAGAAATGCTGACTGTAAGAAAGAAATTAAAGGAAATGTGAACAAATAAGAGGACAACTGCAGGTTTGCCCAGGTAATCAAAGCTTGCAGGGTGAATAGGGTGAAGGTATAACTTAATGGAATATAAGTGGACAAATACTCATAAAAAAGGAAATCAAGAAGATGACCTGAGGAAGGGCGCTAGTTCATTACTGTGCCTTTTATGAACCACTTCACAATTTCAACAATTAACACATTACAACCTCTTGTTGCACATCCACTGCAATTTGTAATCTCAGGTACATGTGTGTCTACGTATTTTAAAATATCACACACACTACAAAAACATACTACTGCATAGAGCTACAATTAACCCCAGCTCTTCGGGTTGAAAAAAAATCAGATGTAGCCCCACTTCAAAGGTTAAAACTTAAGTTGGTGGACAAGACAGGCCCTGTAATGTAATGCCTGTTAAAATCACTACAAAGTGAAGTGGCCCAAAGTTAGGTGCTTCACTCCTTTGGCTGTTCCCACCCTTCCCACACATGCTGATAAGGTAAATGGAGGAACTCCACACCACCTAAGCACTTCCGAAAACAGAACTAGCAATTATTTCGGATTAATTCTGAATGTATTCGAGAGCTAGAGGACAGAGGAAAGCTGTGGAAAAATAACCACAGAACATACCACGGAGAGCTGAAAAATAGCACGGTGTGGAGAGGGAGAAGACACCATGAAGAGATGGGAAGGAGACCATCAGGTAGCCTTGCATAGCGGTTAGAGGCTTGTACAGGAGATCCGGCTTCTCTAGTCTGTTTTTGGCACTGAAGCTCTATTATACTTCGGGCCAGATACTGCCTATCCACCTAAACTACCTCACAGGGTTGCTGTTGTGAGATTAAAACAGATTATGTAAATTGCCTTGGGCTCCCTGGTGGAAAAAAGGTAGGATAAAAATACGACAAATAAATGAAATTTGGGCCAGGATTCACTCCTGCAATCCATTTCCAGAGCCCAACCCAGGTAGAAAGCCATAACTCTGCACACAGGTACAGTATCGTTTCTTACTAATCATCCATGCAGAATTTGGAAGCGCTAACCGGGGATCAAGCCCTCTGTCTGTGGCGAGCTTCAGACTGGAAGCTCCTGGAGGCAGAGACTCCTCTTCCCGCATGTGCTCTGCAAAAAGCCTTCTGCACAACCCTGACTGCTATTCACAGGAATGAAGAACTGAGGAGGAGGAGAGCGGAGGAAGCAGAACCCGCGGAAAGGATGAAAGGGAGGCACGCGGAGAGGGGAGGGAGGCGCGCCGGACGGGGGGCCAGACGGTTGGCCTGGGGGCGCCCCCCGGCCTCACTCACCTCCTTGATCTTCAGCCGTCGGGCGCGGTTCTCGGGGTCCTCGGTGCCGCCCCTCCTCCTGCCCAGCACCGGGTGGCGGAGGCTGCGGCGGAACAGCTCGTAGTCGAAGCGGAACGGGGCGCCCGTCTGCCTGAGGGGGGTCGCGGTGTCGGCGCCCGCTCCCGCGCCGGCCGCCTTCCTCTCCCCGGGCGGCCCCTGGCGGTGGCGCGGCGGCGGCGGCTGGCGCGGGCTGTGGCGGTCCCGCTTAGAGGAAGTGGCGGCGGCTACCGCCGGTGGCGGCTGCGCGGGCGGCAGTTTGGGGTCCCTGAGGCGGCGCGGCGGCGCGGCGGCGTTGCCCGGGCTGGGGGCGGCATGACGGCGGTCGGGCCCCGGCGTGGGCGGCGGGCTGTGGGGTACGTCGGGGTCGCCGGCGACCCCCCGCCGAGGCAAGAAGAGGCGCTTGAAGCGGGAAGAGTCGGGCAGCAAGAAGAGGGCCCCGAAGCACAGCGTGAGCAGGCCCGAGAGAAAGAGCAGGAAGAGGAACTTCTGCGGCAGCCGCAGACCCAGCGCCGCCGACGGCGGCCAGCCCGGCATGCCCGGCAACTTCCGCAGCAGCAGCATGGGCGCACCGCAAGGCCCGGCGGCAGGGGGGCACCCTCCGGCGACGGCGACGCCACCCCGGATCGAAGCGACCGGACCCGGCTTGGAGGGAGGCGGCGGCGACCCGCGAAGTCTCGGGCGGCGATCCGAGCAACCTGTGCCGGATCAGTAGCGAGCGCTGCGAGCCCCGTCCGGGAGGGAACCGAGGGGCACGGAACAAGCTTTGCAAATGTGTGCCCGGCTTCTTTGAGTAGATCCAGGAAAGCACGGAAATCACAATTCAGTGTTCAAATCTCTCTCTCTCTGTCCAGGCATATATAGATAGGTTATGATATATATAAATTCCCCGAAATGATGGTTTAAGTGGGGCTGTCCTCTGAAGACACGTGTCTCTGTTTAGGCTAAATCACCCCAGGTAAAGGACACGACAGACGAACACACAGGCGGGGAGAGGCTTCCTTGCCCGCGTCCCAGCCTTGCTGTGCAGCCCTTTGCAAGAAGTTCTAGGCAGCCGAGCTGCAGCTGCTCCGCCAGCTGGGCAAGAAGTTGAGTTGTCGGACGAGATGCTCGGCGAATGGAGTAGGAAGAAGGGGGGAAAGCAGCGACAGCAGAAGCCGAGTCCGCCTCCTCTTCCTTCCTGCCCGCCCGCCTGCCTGCCCCCTCTCTCACACGTTTTAAGCGGAGGCTACAGCCACGACATCCTCGCCGCCTCCTTGGGGGGTCCTGACCGAGGCAGCAAATGGGGCAGCTCGGGCCAGACAGAAAGGGAGCGCGAGGAGGAGGGGTGTCTCCTTTCCTTTTTACTACGTCCACGCCTTACTCGCTCCTTGCGTACTGCTGCTGCTAGTAGGCACCAGGGGTGCTGTTCTCAGACCGCTTCAGGGGCAGATCCCGATGGGCTGTGGGTCCGTCGATGATGCAGCATTTCTGCAGGAGGGGGCCGGGCGCTCCCCGTCGAGCACGAGGGGGCTGTGGCAGGCAGCCGCCACCGGCTCGTGCGCCCCGACCACCGCGGCGTTGTCTGCAGTCCTCCCCCGCCACGCTCGTCGCGACCGGCCAGCCCCCCCTCCACCTCTCCATCCACTTCAGTCCGGTCTCTCTCTTCCCGGACTCACCATCAGCTCTCGTCTGTTGCAAGCCGCATCCTCGAGGCTTCCCAGATAGGGTTCCTCTTGTAATAATCGGTCGGCTGTTTAGGGGAAAGCCAGGCATTCACCTCCTCCCCTTCCAGAAGGGGAGGATCCACACAGCCAAGGGAGGGATTGGATGGGGAAGGGAAAGAAAAAGGGGGAACAGCGCACACATCACAAACTATCGAAAGGCTCTCTAGTTCATAACCCTTTGCCTCCACTCTAGGCTTCCCAGAAATCGCCCTTTGGACTCGAGTGAGGCTTGCTGCAAGCAGGGAATCCAACAGAGCATTTGGGGGAAGCGGTTTTTTAAAGAAATAGTCAGATCGTTGCTTTATTGCCGTTTTACTCCCTTCAGATAAATTTCATCCTGACTTGCGTGGCTCCTCCTCCTCCTCCCCAGAGAAGAAACGATTCACAACTTTTTCTTCTTTGCTCATTGGGTGGAATCGAGATGCCTCGTTGGAAGAGAAAACAAACTCCCCACTCGAGAAAATACAAGAGAAATGCAGGTATAATCTGAGCAGCCTATATCAATGCCATTATTTAGGTGGAGCATCCATCGTCGATCTCTCCCACCCCTGCCAAGCTTTCTCTGCCAGCCAGGAAACTGAAATCTTCGAAAATCGCATGCAGCTGGCTCTCTGGTCTTGCTACTCTCTGTGTATGCATAGAAGGCAAGGAAAGACCGAAGGACGTGCCTGCCTGTCCTTGCTGCTTATTGCCAACGGATCTTAAGTGCCCATTAAATGAAGAGAAAAGGTTGCTACCAGGCGAACTCTCCAGGGATAGCGAGCCTCTTCAGAGCCTCTCCCGCTGTCCAGCAAGGAATTAAAGGTCGGGCACCCGCTCCATTAAAGGCAGCAGGTTCACCAAATGCAATTACCACCCTACCCTAGCGAGCTGTAAAGAGAACATGGGGAGAAAGAGCAGTTGCATCCGTCCTGGTGCGTCTTCACGGCCGCTAAGCAACCCAGTTAGCACCTAACGTTGCCTCTTCCGCAGCTCATCTCTTACTGCGACAGCAGCAGCCCGCTGACCCCGCCCCTCGGACGGAGCCCCGCCCCCACGTTTGTCCATGCCTACCAAATCCTCCCCCTTATAGACCACGCCTCCTTTCAACGGAGGATGCTCCTCTCCAGAAGAAGAGGGGGAGCGCGCCGCCGCTGTCTCGTTCGGCGCGTGTTTCTCTTCCTCTATTGGCCTGGTAGCAACGACTACTCCCTCCTGATTGGAGATGTAAGACTGTCGCTCAGACACCTGCCCCCACCCATATTTTGTTTACCACAGAGGCAGGCACAGAAGCTCCATGGAACGCTATTGGTTGTGAAGCCCTTTGGTTCTGATTGGCTGGAGGTGCTTCGGCTCGTTGAAGAGAAAGAACAGGGAGGTCTTACGGTGATAGAGCACTGCGGGATCCAAGTTGGTAGCGGTCTTCTGAAAGGCACTGACACGTGTCTATTTGAATAACTCGTATCAGTGTGTTCATACCTTCTATAACAGCAATATGTCTAAACTAAACAGTTCTGTGGTACCTTAACCAACAAAATTGTGCGTACTAGGGTTCACTTCTAGTGCAAAAATACCTAACGCTGTAATAAATGTGCTAGTCCTTACAATGCTTTAAAACTCTTCATTGTTTCAGCTCTAACAAGCTAACACTGCTACTCCTCTGAAACATGTTTATTATTATTACATTGCATTTGTATGCCACCTTTTTTCTTCTTGTGACAAATACAAGGTAGTTTATATTGCTCCATTTTATCTTTGCCACAACCCGGTGAGATAGGCTGGGCTGAGAGCCTGTGACTGGCCCTGAGTCACCCATGGCTGAGTGGGACTACAACCCACATCTCCCAGGTCTCACTCCAACACTTTTAACCAGGGCTTTTTTTGTCATAGAACGCACCGGAATGGCGTTCCGGCACCTTTTTTTGACGGATTTTTCCAAGTGATTGTGAATCACCCTGTTGGGCATAGCAGGTTGGCGGCAAAAATCATTAACATAGTGCCTGCGGGCTGCTTGTGTGTCGGCACTGATTGTGAGGGCACTGCTTGGCTTGGGACGCTGCTCGGCTTGGGATCGGTCGTGTGGTCACGTGCTGAGTGCTTACTGCCGGCGGCGACCATTATGTTTATGTGTGCGTAGAGTGACTGGCTATGTGCAAAAGGTAAATAAGTTCCTTATTTCAAAAAAAAGTTGGTGAATTGAAAATCTTTTTTAGTGTAAAAGTGTGACCCCAAGACGTGAGTTCCGGCACCTTTTTTTTTTTTTTTTTACAAAAAAAGCACTGCTTTTAACCACTACCCAAAATTGTGCCCAGCCTTCTTGTTCCTTTTCCTCCTAATACACATTAAGCAATCTAATCATATGTACTGGCACACAGATACACATACTGCAAGATTAACATTCCCACAGCACTAAGGCAGAGTATAATTCAATTATACAACAGTCTTCCTCCATCTGGCACCCTCCAGAAATATTGGACTACAACTCCCATCACCCTGCCTGGTGGGTGGTGGCAGTTTTGGTTCAACACATACTGGGAGTCTCAAGCTGGGGACAGGTGCAACAGGAAAAGAAGGAAAAGGCTGTTGGTGCCATGGATGGTTTATTAGGGAACTAAATGCTTCACATGTTCCAAGCTACCTGCTTTTCATTAGGAAAAGCTTTCAGCCATAGAACTATATGATGTTCCCTATCTTAGCCAAATAAATGTACCGTCTAACAGAGGAGATGTAGGCAGATGCTGCTTGGCACATCCACGTATTCTGTTTTCAAGCTACTGAAATTCCTTCAAATATACAGCTATTTAAAGATACAACCACATTGCCCTGTCCAACACCGCATCATCTCTCCCTAGTCCTGAGAGAGAGAATATCTTCTAGGCCAAGAACTTCGGGGAGCATTTGAACATCACAATCTCCCATGAGGCCATTAAGTAGAGAGAAAATTTCTTGTCCAGATGCTTTTCTGTTGAACAGACACAAAGCGAGCTGTTCATATCCATTCTGAACCCTCACAACACAATCCCCCCAAGGTCCGCTCTGAAGTAAGTCTCGCTGACTTAACTGAGGCTGATTCCCAGAAAAGTGGATACAGGTCTGCAGCCCGTTTTTATGTGCAGACCTAAGAGTATTATTTAAATGTACAACTAAGACCATCACGCACAACTGAGACAAACCTGTATTATACAACTAACAACTACACTCATCACACAAAGCCAGGGCCGATGGTGAACCCAGACAGAAGACCATCAAACAGAAAATGCCCCCAGACCAACTCCCAGGGTTGTTTCTACCATTTGCCATGATGCAGTCCCCCAAATAGGTGATAAATATCTGTGTGAGGTGAGGGGAACGGTTCCATCAAGGAACAGTATACTGCCAATTTTTTTTAGATTAATAATCTGTGTCTCCCCATACTCCTACAGCTTTGGGATACCTTTTGCACTTGCTGCCTGGGAACCAAGATGTCTTGTGATCAGTCTCTGTATGTTGCAGCTAAGCCTCTATTTTAAATAAGAGAGATGGCTAAGTGCCCTTCTTTACAAAAGACAGTTCTCTGTTTGAAAAGCTGCCAAGGACCATCATCTTGTTGAAGGTGTCTTCTGTTTGAATGGGCCTTCTATCCAAGCCTAGAATGAAGAAGAGCCATAAGAATTGTTGCCTAATAATTACCCAGCCAGCATGGCCAATAGTCAAGGATGATGGTAGTTGTGCTCCAACAGCATCTGGGTATGAGCTACAGTTATAGTTGAAGCAAAATACCTTTCTCTCATGCTATAAATAATCAGATACTACATCTCAGATTACAGGGATAGGCCAAATGTTTTGGACTACCACTTCCATTGGCCCCAGTCAGCATGACCAATGATCGGAAAGTATGGGAGTCCCAAAGCATCCACTGGGCACCAGACTGCCTATCCCTGACCTAGACATTATCTGAAAAGCAAACAGAAGTTTGTCCATAAATAGAAGACAGAGTTTATTGTCTGTTTGGGAAATGAAGGATAAGGCATGCAACAGAAGCAATGTCACAAATGAAGATTCCTAAATGATGGTAAAATTAAGGTATTATTTTATATATTTTTATATATTTTTATTTTTACTAGTCTTGAGGTAAGTGCAGAATTACACTTAGAATACCCAGGCACAGTACTATCTGCATTTAGACAAAAAAGGCTGACAACTCACAGCATGTCCTGGCATGACATGGATGGGTCACGCTGGGAGTTAAAGGTCTTTTAGCTCTATCTAAGCAGGCATTGGATTGCACCCTCAGCACGGAGAATAATGCTATGGAAAATGGCATCTCCCGCTCTATTGCCAGAGTCAAGTCAAAGTAGAATCTATGTGAAACTGATAAACTGGAAAACAAAGAGTGAGAAGACCAAGATGCAATCACAAACTTTGCTGTATTGTGGTTAATTTTTTGGTACGAGTGAAAGAAATCTTTTTAAAGAAAATACTTTGTTATGGCCACAGGAAAAACAAAATTTAATATCTACTGGTACAGGAAAAAGCAGTGCAATGGCAGAACTGGAGGCAAAGTACATTGGCAGAGTAATTAAGTTTATTTGTACTTCATCCTGCTCATCTTGTAACAGGAGACCTGGATGATTTTGTTGTTCCAGAAAACATGTCCATCTTCTCTACAAGAGGAGTTCAAATCTTTGTGAGGTGAGAATCTGGCACCTAGAGGTAATGAGTGATGATGCTGAAAATATTGAAGCCTGTAATTCTGGATGCCGCAGCAAGATTTTAAGGTAAAACTGATGGAACTAAATGCATGTTGTAGTCCTGCCAGGATGGGTTATCTAATGGTGCAATCCAATACATGTCTAGACAGAGAAAAGCAAAAGACTCCCAGCATGCCTCAGCAAGTTGGGTGGGGAATACTGGGAGTTGTAGGCCTTTTCTGTCTAAACATAGATGGGAGTGTGCCTTAAGTTGCTCAGTGCATGGAATTGTTACCACACCATCACACACGCGTGCACACACGCACACACACTCTCTTTAACATAACATTACACTTCAGCCCCAAGAAATCCAACCCTCAGAAAGGCAGATGCTTGACGCTTTGGAAACCTGGTTTGCCAAATGGGTTCAAGGCCAGCAAACAAACTTGTGGGGAAAGGATCAAACTGTGGGGGAAGCAGCCCTTTGTGTACAGCTGAGGGATCTGAAGGATTTTTAGGTGCTTCCGGAGGAGGAGACAAGGGTCACTGGGCCTCTACTCCGGGATGACTTGGACCATCCACTGCATGTGGTTCTCAAAATCTCTGGATGCAAGAACCTTTTCCATACCTGCAAGTCCGCCAAGAAACTCTTGTCCATCCATCAAATAACCTTTGCATGTTCGGTGGATCCTGGGAAGTGTTTAGAGGCACAAATTCAATTCGTGCAGCGTGAACCTGTTGAGAGGCCAAAGTCAAGAACGGAGAGGACAAAGTCAGCATCTTCACTACGTTTATGCAGGGAAGGTTGTTCACCTTTACTATACTGCATTTCTAATCGAGGAATCCCTGATATGTTTCCAAGGAACCCCAGGGTTTCTTGACATACAGACTGAAAGACACTACTTTAGCAAATGCTCTCAGAACTTATCAATTGATCAATGGCGCTTAACCAGCAAGGAGTTGTCTAATTAATATGAAAAGGGCTCCTGATTCTGCATTAGAAGAACTGATCCAGGTTGAAGCAGTAAGACTGAAACTATATAGATTTTTAACTCTCCAGGAGTAAATGCAAGAAACACAATTGTGGTTGCTTATAGTTCTTAAAAAGGCTTTACACTGGCACAATGTTTTGTAATATTTGATACTGTTGTTACAACAGCCCTCTGAAGAAAGGCATACCTCTTCCCATTTCACAGATGAGGAAGGGAGGCCAAAACTTGACAGCTTGTGGCCCAAAGCATGGCAGTGAACTACGATCCAGTCTTGGTGCAGTGTCAAAAGACCCAGCTTTCAGGCAGGATGCAAAATGAATGGTGCAGAGTCAATTTCAGGCCCTCCCTTTTACTCCCATGGTGCGTGCTGCTGAAGCTGTGTTTGCACAGCCAGGAAGACTGAGGACCGAGGGCTTTTCCTTTTCTAGTCAGTCACAACATCCTTAAGCTTCATTTGGTATGTTCCAATCTTCAGCTAGACTTACTCAAGGTCAAACTAGGCTGGACAATGGATATCAGAGATCTAAATTCCCATCTCTCATGAACCACAGCCGCCACACCTTCCAGCATGCAGCAGAAGATTTCAGTGAGTAGGATGTACAGGCCACTTCCTGGGAGATGAGAGAACTAGGGCCTCATTCAGCACCCTCTGGGCTTGTGGACGCAGCCCTGACACCACCCCTGGCTTGGTAGAATTGTCATCCCCTCAGCCTTGCAGAAGCATCAGGCTACCAAGTCATACACAGGCCCTTTAACAGTCCAATTAGAACAGAACAAGAGCTGGAAGAGTCCTATAAGGCCATCAGATCCACACTCTGCTGTGCTTCCACATGTGGTCACCCATCCAGCTGCAGGGCTGCACCTTTCAGCTTTAAGAGGGATAGAGGTGGCCACAGCACAGGTCTTATCAGCTTACCCAAGGTTTCAGTTTAACTTCAGCTCCCTGCTGAGAAATCATCCGCTGACCGTTCTGGAAGAAGAGAATTCCAGCCAGCTGGACTTGAATGCTGCTATCTAAGGCCCTGTTTTCTCTCTGCCTTGATCAAACTGCCATCAGATTCTACCAGCTTCCCCTGCAAGTCCCAAGAAACCACAGAATGGGACACTTGTCTCTTCCAGAACATAAGAGCTTGCTGGATCAGATCAAAGGCCAATGTAGCCCAGTATTCTGTCTGTACAGCTGCCAATCTGGAGCGTGCACGAACCCCACAAACGGGACAGAAGAGCAAGGACAAAAAGGAATAGTCTGGTGCCACATGCCACTTATTTATCTTTATTTGCAGTAGCTGCCATCAGGGTCCTTTTTCAAGCGTCCCCAGCAATGACCATTCCTACAGGCAGCTGCACCAGGAGATGATTGGGATGGGATGGGATGGGATATAGGGTAATTCCACCAGCCCCTGTTTTATTCCTTTTCCCTCCCTGTTCACTTTCCCTCTCATGTTGTGCTTTGTTCAGATTGTAAGCCTGTGGGCAGCATCTGTCTTATTGTATACAAGCCACTGTGGAAGCCTTTTTGACTGAGGAGCAAAATAAAATTACTTTGGATAAATGTGCACACAGCTTCTTTAAAAAAAGAATCAAAAACCAACAACAAGCTTTTAACAGTCCCTCAAAGTTACAAACAAATCCCAAGTGAACAGAAAAAATGCATTTTGAACAGACATTTAAGTGAGTTGGCATTTTGTGCTAACTTCAACTTTCTTTCAAACTCTACTCATGTTGCTCAGAAGACTCTCAACAGCCTGTATTCAAACTTAAATTTAGGGATATAGTGCAAAGGCCTTCCTTAGAATTTAAACTGTATTTTCCTCCTAAGAGTAGAGATAGGTATTTATACAGTATTTATTCCTCAAGCCAGCAAGCTTTGCCCCTTATGGAAGATTCATCAGTTTAATCAGCAAAAAACAGTCAGATTCATAGTTAAAATAAAAAGTCTATGCCATTTGCCTAAAATCAGAATTCTGCAGAAACTAGAGAGAGGGTGTCACTGCTGCTGTCCTGGATTTTCTGGACAGCCATCTGAGGGGGATGTTTTAACTTGGTGTCCTGCCCTGAGCAGGGGGTTGGACCTGATGGCCTTCAGGCCCTTCCAACTCTGCTATTCTCTGATTCTTTTTGGCAACAAGATAAAGACTTAAATATGACAAAGGTCTAAACATTTCAACTTTTCCACTCTTCCTTTTGTCCCAGAATCTGTGCAGAAAAACAAGAACAAGGCGAAACTGGTGAAGAAGCAAGAGGCATCTGGGGAAGTTACATCCAGGCAGCCAATGAGGCAGTTTCTCTTGTACAGTTTGGAAATAAAGAGCACTGGGAAAATTCTTGGAAGCTATATCAGATGTGACTGGGAAGGCTGGAAAGCTCGGTTTACAGATCTCTGCTGCAGGGGGGAAAAGCTATACAGCCATCGGGTCACATCAGGGTCGGGGCCACTGGTCCCAGAAAACAAGGGCCTTGTCCTCTTATCACTCAGACTTGTTTGCTGAGCAAAACTCACCCAGAAGCATTTACAGGGCTCTGTTACAGGACTCACTCTGTCCTACTGCTGCTGAGGAACCCCCTTAGTCATCCGGCCAGTTTCAAGGTAGTCCTCCCCTTTGTCAAAGCTCAGTGCCAAAGTGCCTGCAAAGCATATTTTGTATGGCACAGAAGAGTCCTCTGTTAGAAGGGCTGTCCTGTCCATTTCTAGCGTAAAGACTAGAGATGTGCTTTCTTTCTAGCACTGGGGACATCCAGGTTCAAGATCCATTCAGCCATGAAGTTCACTGGGTGACTTTGGGCCAGTCTCTGACTCCCAGGTTCACTGACCTCACAGGGTTGTTGTGGGGATAAGATGAAGAACAGAGGAGGAGAACCATGTAAGCTGCATTGCAAGGTGAAAAAAGACAGAATATAACTTCAACAAAGACAATTTCAGAATTCACATACATACTTGTAGGACTGTCATAGGCATTTAAAAAAATCACCTGCTTTGTCCTCCTTTTTGGTGATAGCTTTCCTCTTTTCTGGCAGTTCAGAACTGGGTAGCTTTGCTGAATCTCCACTTGACTGCTCTCAATTCAGCCACTGCTGCAGGGCAGAATTGCAACTACAGACACACCTGTGATATGAAGGTAGAAGAATGGATTGCCTGTTCATTACATTTAAAAAAATGCCACATAACCAAAGTTGTCTGGGCAGTGGGCAGATAAACACATGAAATAGAACAATAAAACAAGCAGAATAAAACAGCTCAAGATTAAAAACAAAATAAAACAGGCAGCAGGGAGCCAGCCATGAAAGACACAAAACCAAGCACCTGCAGGCAGGAGAAACCGTGTCTGGACATCCGTGCTGCTTACTCGTACCTTTTACATGCATGAACTAAATTCACAGCCCTTGCACAAGTGTGCATCCAAAAGAAAGTTCGGAGAGCAAACGGGGGTGACCTAGCGCTCTTCTGCGGCTTGCTTTCTAATGGAACTCTTTCATGAAATGTGCCATGCTCTAAATTTGTTCAAAGCTTCCATGCACAATTCCTCAGTAATCATTTCCCAACAGCCCTTATGTGTCATCATCCATGTACTGCAAAGGAGGGACAGCCAGATCCGTGACTTCCCTGTGCATGAGAATTCTGAAGCACAGTTTGCTGAGAAGCACCAGGTCCGACCCTTCCCTGAGCTGCAAAGTTGAAGAATACTTAAGAGATCTCCTGATCCCCTCTGGCCTGTTGTTGCACTCACCTGCAGGTATCCTCCTGGGGGTACCAAGATTTCAGGGGTTCAGTCCATGGCAGTTCAGAATAGGGACATAGTGTCACGCTGCCCACACTCTGGGGCTCCCACCACCCCAACCTAGACCCTTCTGGGCTTTCGGCACTTACAAAATACATAATATTCCCAACAGACTTTTCTAGTACGGCAATCTTGTCCTTTGTACATCACTTTAATATAAATGTTACATAAATCTCATTAAACTACTGCTAATTACAATGAATGAATGATTGCCAGGTGACCCTGAGCCATTTACTTTCTCTCTGCTGCACACTTGTGTATTCTTGTAGCCAACCTCACAGGGTCGTTATGAGGATAATAAACGAGAAGGAAGACCTGCTGGCTTGGATGGCTTCAAAAGCAAATGGGAGAAGTTCTAATATAGAGGCGGAACCTGCATATATTACGTGAACCGGCCTTTGGAAAACTAACAAAGAGGTGAGTTTTAATAACATGTTGCTAAAGACAAAGAGGAGGTCTGACAAGCACGTGGGGGAGAGAGTTTTCTGCATAAGGAGCCAGGGGAGATAAAGCATGCAAATGAGAAGCAGCATGAAAGAGAGCAGGCCGAGAAAAGATTTGTACAGAACTGGATGTTCAATGTTTCTCCCTTTTTATAATGAAAATGGTGTGTGGCATTGCTGCGTGTTGCAGTCCACCTCAAGCTGGAATGTGGACTGCCAGCTGAAGACTGGCAAATCCTATCCTCACTGGGTCTTGCCAGAACCCCCCAGGGAAACTGAGGATGAAGATCCTATAAGGCGCCTAAATGTTTCTTGTGCTGCAGTTTTCAAAGAGAAGGCAGTCACTGCCCTCAGGCAGACAATCTAAAGGACATGACACAAAAGGAAAGAGGAAAGGAGAGGGAAGAGGAAAGCAGGCCCCTGGAGCAGGTGGGTTTTTACCGTGCCTTGGAGGGCAGAGGGTGCTGTTGCTTTTCTGCTGACCTGGTCAAGGGTGCCCCTCCCTCCAGCTCTGCCACGCTAGAGCTCACTTCTGCAATCCCGAGAGACTTTCCCCTGAACTTCTGGCATCCCTTCCTTGAGTGGCCATGTGTCCGTTCTGCAGAGGACTGTCCTCTGTTCCAGGGCTTGCCACAAGTCCATCTTCTGTTTCCAGGGCTGCCTTCTCCAATTCTAGATTAAAGATTGGGAACCTTTATAACTGTGGCTTATCCAAAGTTCGTCCCCAAAGAGCAGGCTAAACGTTGGGTGGGCACGTAGCCAACCCAAGTGGGAACAATCTTTTGTAATATGGTAAATTGTAATAGTTATTTCTAAATTTGCATCTAGACATATAAATAAAAGGTAAAGGTTTCCCCTTGACATTAAGTCCAGTCATGCCTGACTCTAGGGGGCGGTGCTCATCTCTGTTTCCTGGCCGAGGGAGCCGGCGTTTGTCCGCAGACAGTCTCCGTGGTCATGGGGCCGGCATGACTAAACACCGAAGTGCACGGAACGCTGATACCTGCCCACCAAAGTGGTACCTTTTTATCTACCTGCATTTGCATGCTTTCGAACTGCAAGGTTGGCAGGAGCTGGGACGGAGCAACGGGAACTCACTCCGTTGTGCAGATTCGAACCGGCGACCTTTCGATCAACCAGCCCAGCAGCACAGCGGTTTAAACCACTGCGCCACCTGCAGTCCCAGACATATAAATAAAGATGTGCAAATGTGATGAGTGCTGGAAACCTCTTTCTGGTAACTCAGAAGTAGCCACTCTGGCTGGGCTGGACCACGAGTAGGTCAGCATAGATCTCTAGGTGGTTTTCTGCCCTAGCAAAGGCAGAGCAATCATTTCTCGAGCGAAACCATGAGAAAGAACCATCCTGCATTTCAGGCTCCCTTTCGTTCTGACATAGTGGGGAGGTCAGAGTCCTTACAGTTGTGGGAGACTAAAACCCAGATTTCCTGAGTCCCAGTCTAGCACTCCAAAACAACAGGTAAAAACACATAACAGCACTATTATTAAAAGTAGCAGAATGCAAAACAATAAAAATAATATCCCACAACAACAACAATTCATTGCAGCTTGACAACTCACACATCAGCACAGAGCTGAAGGGCACAAAAATCCTACAAGTCCCAGCATGCTCCAGCCAGCCATGCTGGATGCTGGAGAGCCTTTTTTGTCTAAACACACGGAGAGGTGCAGTTTTAGCCATTCATATTCTCAAAGCTTTCCAGTGAAGACCGTTAAAGTGCCTGTGTGTGTGTGGAAAGAAGCTCTTCCTCAGGTGCGTGTGCCAAATCCTGGCCTTTGAATGCATGTGCACATGCATGCACACACACAGGCTCCATCATTAGCTTTTGACTCGCTGGTGTTTTTTACTTCCACAATTTTGAGCACACACACAACAACCCTGTGCTAGACTGCTGGAAAGAAACACGGGTCAAACAAGCCGGCATGCAATTCTCGGTGTTTTCCCCCCCTTTTTCTTTTCTAAGGTGAGCTCAAGGACAATGACAGAAGCGAGCAATCTCTGTGGCTCCAGGGATTTGTCACAGCATCTCTCTCGTATCCTGTTCCTGGAAAATGGAAGAAGGCAGAGCAAGGCAGAAGCGAAGATGGAGAGAGAGGAGGCCTGGCACCAGGAGCAGAGCCCCAGCTGTGCAGTGGAGCAAGCAAGCCTGACCTGAAAACATTTGGGGGGTTTTAATGACTTGGCTTGCTGGAACGGAGAGGCTGGCTGGCCAACGTCCCTGCAGCGTTCTCGTTCAACCAGTTTCTGGTGCCCACACATGGCCCATGTTGCCACTAACATCCTCTAGCTCAGAGTTTTGAACCTAAAGTCCCAATCGGGGCTTTTGGGCTTTCCCATATTGTTATGCCTCCTTCCTTCCGATCTCCAGGAGTTTGGTGGCTTCCTGATCTTTCTGCCCCCACTGCTTCTAAAAGCTTGTAGTGTTCCTCTTAAGGTTAAAGCATTATGCTAAATACACAGGTGCTTTTGGCCCCACCCCCTTTGCCTTCAAGGCCACCCACTGGTGGGATGCCTGCAATGCCCCTCCCACCCCAAAACTGCTCTGAAATGGGATGTGGTCTTCCAGCTGAAAGGCTCCGCATCTCTCTCTAGGTTGCCCAGAACCAGGTTGCCACAGCTCCTGAGAATGGGACCAGGTGGAAAGGTACCAAAATGGTCAGGGTTCAGGCCTGGAAGGCCAAAAAATGCACTAATCTGCACTGGCTAAACTACTTGGGCTCCAAAATGTGTTTGAATGTCTTGGAAAGGCTCTGTCTCCAAAGGACATTCCCATTTGTTAAGAAGGGATGCATGAACAGGAGAAAGAAGAGCAATTGATTGTGCGGGTGGGGGGAGAAACCTCAGGCAGAAAGAATCAAAAGAGGTGAATGAAGTGCATGTAGGCAAAGAGGCAGCTAATCCAGTGGGATCAGGGTTTATCAGGGCCCCTGCACCTTTTTTTCAGCAAATGCCCAAGGACAACAGGATGATGGGGCAGGGGCCTCTCAGAGATTCCAGGCTCCAACCCTGGTAGGCTGTCACCTAACAGCACCTCTGAAGGCAAAGGCTGCAGTTCAAGCCCAGCTTCTGATGCAAAACCAGGTTTGCATCAGAAAGTGGGAACTTCACCTAATAAGGGAAGCAAGCCCATTCAATATGCAGAAAATTCCCCAAGTGTCCCCAAACATGATGGGAAACACTTAATCTTTCACAGGAAAATAGATCCCTTTGTCCTCACCTGAAGCAGCTACATTAATATCCCTGTAACCAGAATGGCTTTGAATTATGCAAAACAAAGCACTTTCAGCCACTTTCAGCAAAAGATGATCACTTAATAGGCCTGGATTTAGTGTCAGGGTACAAACAAAGGATTTTTAAAAACAAAGCAAAACAGCCAAATGATTTGCTCTGCTGGGTGGTAGGAAAGCATCGTGCTGGAGCCTGACTTGAAGTGCAGTGGGAGGAGAAGAGCACAAAGGCCTTTTCTAAACACATTTGTCACCTTTGATGTAATTCTATCTACAAGGAAAAAACATGGGTCAACTGGTATCCTTTGGCCAATTATATTAAGATGGATATCCAGCTTCCAGACTGTTTTACAGGCACCCGACAGACACTGTCAAGCTCTTTTCTCCAGTGATCTCAAATAGCCAGAATATCGATTAACTTAAATGCTTCTGATGTTTTGTGCCCTGACTGGATGGCTGGGCAGCGGATGAAGGCATGGTAGCTCCTGAGATTTACAAGGGTAAACTGTATTGGAAAGTTGCTGTGATGAAGCCCAAATTGCACTGGTCAGGAGCAGTGGGTGGAAGAAAGGAGCTTAAGGTTAAAAGGACAGGTGCTTTGAGTAATGATATATATATACACACACACACATACAT